TGTCTGGAGAGAGGAGAGTCTGGGTCTCTGCTGAGGCTGCTGCCCCCGAGACCTGACCCTGGATAAGAGGAAGAAAATGGATGGAGGGAGGTGGATTCTACATTTATCTCACTGTTTCCATGGTAACAGCTGGTGTGGACCTGTTGGTCTCCATGGTAACAGCTGGAGTGGACCTGTTGGTCTCCATGGTAACAGCTGGAGTGGACCTGTTGGTCTCCATGGTAACAGTCCGTCAGTGTTTTCAGCAGGTGAAGTTATGATGAGCCCACAGTAGCAGAACTTCAGAACCCGACTGGGTTCAGTTTTCATATGAAGTCAGTTTCTGTCTAAAGATGGTCTGATGCTGCTGTTTGATGTTTGACTCCAACAAACAGCCCAAGTTTCTCCTCTCTGAAGCCTTTAGCTCGTCTCAGCAGGCAGCTCATCTTCGTCTGAAACTAGATTTTTGTGCTGCAGTCAAGCAGCGCTGCTGGAGGGGAAATTACTGACGTTTAAGTGGGTCCTCAAACGCCCCAGAGAGCAGAACCAGGGAGGGATGAGGATGGGAGCATTTAGAGACAGCAGGAGCTCAATGAGCTCCATCCTGGAGAATATGAAACAATCTGATTCTGGAACTAATGTGGCTCCTGGTTGTGACCCGGACCATGGCTGCTGGAGCCAGGAGCTCAGGTTGTCTCAGCCTGATGAGTCTCCATGATGCGGAGTATTGGTGGAGTTTAAAAACCTGCTTCTGGTTCTGGATGTGCTGACCGTCTCACTTAGGAACTCATTTTGTTCTCTTTTAAACTCTTGACCTCTTTTAAAATAAGAATCAGCTAAAAAACTTCAGATTATTTYATTTGGGACATTTTTAAGCTTAGGTGGATCTGAACAAATTCATTGTATAAAGTGCAGATAAACTTTATAATCTGACAACATGACTGTGTTAAAAAGGATAGTTTTGGGTAAAATCCCCTCTTTACTTTGGGTAAACTGATGTTGATCTGAAAAAACTTCCTGGTTAAATCAAGGTTTCTCCTGCACAAATGGACAGGTCGGACTTTGATGAACTTTTCAAACTGGCTYAGTCTCTGCAGTTTGACAGCAGCTCACAGGGGAAACCCTCCTTGATTTGCATGAAATCAGAGTAAATAAAAGTTTGGCTGCAGAGTTTCCTCACCTTGGCTCGGATCACGGTGCAGTGCAGCTCGCTGGAGCTCTGATCATATCTCAGCTCAAACTCCAGTGTTCCCAGAGCAGCTGTAGGGGAGAAAAGAAAATTATCATAAAAACATGATTTACAGCCATCGCACCAGTGGGCAGGAAAATGTCAGCGTTCATATTCTGCCAGAACAAATTGAAAGCATGCGAGAGAACAGAAGAGGAGCTCAGGCACACCACGCGTTCACAAGATGGAAAATCCAATTTAGTGCAGCAGCACCTGTCATCTGAATCCCAACACAACACATCACATGTCAACACAGGAAATCCTCCCAAAACCAGAGTAAACACGTTCATCTGGGCTGATTACAACCATGCAGACACACACGGTGTTAAACATCTTCATACAACAACACAAACCCACACAGTCAATACAAAGCTCAGATTCTCTGGCTCTTTATAACACAGTGGACTCACATTGGGCCTCATGCAAGAACATGTTCATATTCTTCCTAAATTTCTCTTACTTTTGCTCGTACAAAGGGTTCGTACGAACATGTCACGTCAGATTCAACAAACTCTTCTATCTTCAGGAAAAGAGTGTAAATGAGCTGC